TATATCACGCAATTCTGACTTTATATCTCGCAATTCTGACTTTATATCTCGCAATTCTGACTTTATATCTCGCAATTCTGACTTTATATCTCGCAATTCTGACTTTATATCCAGCAATTCTGACTTTATATCACGCAATTCTGACTTTATATCTCGCAATTCTGACTTTATATCTCGCAATTCTGACTTTATATCTCGCAATTCTGACTTTATATCTCGCAATTCTGACTTTATATCACGCAATTCTGACTTTATATCTCGCAATTCTGACTTTATATCTCGCAATTCGGACTTTCTATTTCGCAATTCGTACTTTATATCACGCAATTCTGACTTTATATCTCGCAATTCTGACTTTATATCTCGCAATTCTGACTTTATATCTCGCAATTCGGATTTTCTATTTCGCAATTCGGACTTTATATCACGCAATTCTGACTTTATATCACCCAATTCTGACTTTATATCTCGCAATTCGGACTTTCTATTTCGCAATTCGGACTTTATATCACGCAATTCTGACTTTATATCCCGCAATTGTGACTTTATATCGCGCAATTCTGACTTTTTATTTCGCAATTCTGACTTTATATCCCGCAATTGTGACTTTATATCGCGCAATTCTGACTTTTTATTTCACAATTCTGACTTTATATCTCGCAATTCTGACTTTCTATTTCGCAATTCTGACTTTATATCCCGCAATTCTGACTTTATATCCCACAATTCTGACTTTATATCACGCAATTCTGACTTTATATCTCGCAATTCTGACTTTATATCCCGCAATTCTGACTTTATATCACGCAATTCTGACTTTATATCTCGCAATTCTGACTTTTATATCACGCAATTCTGACTTTATATCACGCAATTCTGACTTTATATCACGCAATTCTGACTTTATATCACGCAATTCTGACTTAATATCACGCATTTCTGACTTTATATCACGCAATTCTGACTTTATATCACGCAATTCTGACTTTATATCACGCAATTCTGACTTTATATCTCGCAATTCAGACTTTTATATCACGCAATTCTGACTTTATATCACGCATTTCTGACTTTATATCACGCAATTCTGACTTTATATCCCGCAATTGCGACTTTATATCACGCATTTCTGACTTTATATCACGCAATTCTGACTTTATATCCCGCAATTCTGACTTTATATCTCGCAATTCTGACTTTATATCTCGCAATTCTGACTTTATATCACGCAATTCTGACTTTATATCTCGCAATTCTGACTTTATAACCCGCAATTGCGACTTTATATCACGCATTTCTGACTTTATAACACGCAATTCTGACTTTATATCCCGCAATTGCGACTTTATATCACGCATTTCTGACTTTATAACACGCAATTCTGACTTCATATCTCGCAATTCTGACTTTATATCTCGCAATTGCGACTTTATATCACGCTATTCTGACTTTATATCCCACAATTGCGACTTTATATCCCGCAATTCTGACTTTATATCCCGCAATTGCGACTTTATATCACGCAATTCTGACTTTATATCACGCAATTCTGACTATATCTTGCAATTCTGACTTTATATCACGCAATTCTGACTTTATATCACCCATTTCTGACTTTATATCTCGCAATTCGGGCTTTCTATTTCGCAATTCTGACTTTATATCACGCAATTCTGACTTTATATCCCGCAATTGTGACTTTATATCACGCAATTCTGACTTTATATTTCGCAATTCTGACTTTATATCACGCAATTATGACTTTATATCCCGCAATTGTGACTTTATATCACGCAATTCTGACTTTATATCACGCAATTCTGACTTTATATCTCGCAATTCAGACTTTTATATCACGCAATTCTGACTTTATATCACGCATTTCTGACTTTATATCACGCAATTCTGACTTTATATCCCGCAATTGCGACTTTATATCACGCATTTCTGACTTTATATCACGCAATTCTGACTTTATATCCCGCAATTCTGACTTTATATCTCGCAATTCTGACTTTATATCTCGCAATTCTGACTTTATATCACGCAATTCTGACTTTATATCTCGCAATTCTGACTTTATAACACGCAATTCTGACTTTATATCTCGCAATTCTGACTTTATATCTCGCAATTCTGACTTTATATCTCGCAATTCTGACTTTATATCACGCAATTCTGACTTTATTTCCCGCAATTGCGACTTTATATCACGCATTTCTGACTTTATAACACGCAATTCTGACTTCATATCTCGCAATTCTGACTTTATATCTCGCAATTGCGACTTTATATCACGCTATTCTGACTTTATATCCCACAATTGCGACTTTATATCCCGCAATTCTGACTTTATATCCCGCAATTGCGACTTTATATCACGCAATTCTGACTTTATATCACGCAATTCTGACTATATCTTGCAATTCTGACTTTATATCACGCAATTCTGACTTTATATCACCCATTTCTGACTTTATATCTCGCAATTCGGGCTTTCTATTTCGCAATTCTGACTTTATATCACGCAATTCTGACTTTATATCCCGCAATTGTGACTTTATATCACGCAATTCTGACTTTATATTTCGCAATTCTGACTTTATATCACGCAATTATGACTTTATATCCCGCAATTGTGACTTTATATCACGCATTTCTGACTTTATATCCCGCAATTCTGACTTTATTTCTCGCAATTATGACTTTATATCTCGCAATTCTGACTTTATATCTCGCAATTCTGACTTTATATCACGCAATTCTGACTTTATATCCCGCAATTGCGACTTTATATCACGCATTTCTGACTTTATAACACGCAATTCTAACTTTATATCTCGCAATTCTGACTTTATATCTCGCAATTCTGACTTTATATTTCGCAATTCTGACTTTATATCCCGCAATTGCGACTTTATATCACGCATTTCTGACTTTATAACACGCAATTCTGACTTTATATCTCGCAATTCTGATTTTATATCTCGCAATTCCGACTTTATATCACGCAATTCTGACTTTATATCCCGCAATTGCGACTTTATATCCCGCAATTGTGACTTTATATCACGCAATTGCGACTTTATATCACGCAATTCTGACTTTATATCCCGCAAGTCTGACTTTATATCACGCAATTCTGACTTTATATCTCGCAATTCTGACTTTATATCCCGCATTTCTGACTTTATATCACGCAATTCTGACTATATCTCGCAATTCTGTTTTTATATCACGCAATTGCGACTTTATATCACGCATTTCTGACTTTATAACACGCAATTCTGACTTTATATCTCGCAATTCTGACTTTATATCACGCAATTCTGACTATAACACGCAATTCTGACTTTATAACACGCAATTCTGACTTTATATCACGCAATTCTGACTTTATATCCCGCAATTCTGACTTTATATCTCGCAATTCTGACTTTATATCCCGCAATTCTGAGTTTATATCACGCAATTCTGACTATATCTCGCAATTCTGACTTTATATCACGCAATTCTGACTTTATATCACCCAATTCTGACTTTATATCTCGCAATTCGGACTTTCTATTTCGCAATTCTGATTTCATATCACTTAATTCTGACTTTATATCCCGCAATTGTGACTTTATATCAATCAATTCTGACTTTATATCACGCAATTCTGACTTTATATCTCGCAATTCTGACTTTCTATTTCGCAATTCTGACTTTATATCACGCAATTCTGACTTTATATCACGCAATTGTGACTTTATATCACACAATTCTGACTTTATATCTCGCAATTCTGACTTTATATCACGCAATTCTGACTTTATATCACGCAATTCTGACTTTATATCTCGCAATTCTGACTTTATATCACGCAATTCTGACTTTATATCTCGCAATTCTGACTTTTATATCACGCAATTCTGACTTTATATCACGCAATTCTGACTTTATATCCCACAATTGCGACTTTATATCACGCAATTCCGACTTTATATCCCGCAATTCTGACTTCATATCCCGCAATTCTGACTTTATATCCCGCAATTCTGACTTTATATCACGCAATTCTGACTTTATATCACACAATTCTGACTTTATATCACGCAATTCTGACTTTATATCACGCAATTCTGACTTTATATCTCGCAATTCTGACTTTATATCACGCAATTCTGACTTTATATCCCGCAATTGCGACTTTATATCACGCAATTCTGACTTTATATCCCGCAATTGTGACTTTATATCACACATTTCTGACTTTATATCCCGCAATTGTGACTTTATATCACGCAATTCTGACTTTATATCTCGCAATTCTGACTTTATATCTCGCAATTGTGAGAAATAAAGTCGGAATTGCGAGATGTAAACTCCCAATTGTGAGAAATAAAAGTCAGAATTGTGAGATAAAAAGTCGCAATTACCTTTTTTATTTTCCATTCTGTGGTGGAAACAAGCTTCCATAGTTCCCGGCTTACAGTGGAATCCAAAATGAGCCCAAAGGTCGGCTTTTAATGTTGGTACAGGCTTGAATTAGGCTTGAACGCCTGCTTGAACGGAGTCAGAGCCCGTCTAACGGAGAGCCTTGGCACTTCCTATTAGCCCCATTGTTGCCCCATGCCAGTACAGTTCTCTTTTGCGCTTTGAATGAACAATATCACACACAATTATGCCAAAATGTTGTTTTGTTGAATTTCTTCATAACATAAGAGCAGTCTTATGATGAACCTGAGAGATGTTCGAGAATGAGGTGCCAGCAACGGCTGCTCTTAAAGGGCCAGCAGTAGGGCTGTCGCGGTTATGGAATTTACTTTGCGGTAATGTTGAGTGGCTCAATAGCCGATATTTTCAGAATTATTACTAATCTGTGCGAGCATTTTTTTTAGAACCAAGCAAGTTGACTCATGAAATCATTTGTTTATTATATTGCAATATTGACCTCAATAGTTGCAATATGCCATTTTCCCCAAATCGTGCAGCCCTAAAAGTTTCTTTCATTTCAGTGTGTCTGCAGGAAACAGTAACGGCTGTTATTGGCGGTTCTGTTCTCCTGCCGTGTTCTTCCACTGAACATGATCTGAAACCTCAAGACACTGATGTACTTTGGAGACACAATGGCAGCAAGAATGTGTATGATATAGTCAAGGGTAAAGAATCACTAGAGTTCCAGGACCCTCGTTACAAGAACAGAGCTGAAAGATTGCCTGATGAGTATGAGAAAGGAAACTTCTCCATCAAACTCAACAATCTCACTCACACTGATGCTGGAAAATACATTTGCTACATCACACTCTCATCTGAGCCTCAGTCTGTACAGCTGATCATCAACGGTGTGTAAAAAAACTTGATTCATGTATGTAGTTGGGAACACTTTAGAATAATGATCTGTCATTACTATGAAACCATGCAGCAAGTAATGCAGGACAAATGAGTAGTACTATATTCACACACTTCAGATATTACTATTAACTAATATGGAAACAAACTTAACTAATCAGTAGAGCCAGACCGATATATCGGCCGGCCGATATTAGGATTTTTCCAAAATATCGGTATTGGCAGTTATAATGGCCGATAAATGAATATTTAAAAAACAGAAATGGACGAAACACGCTTCAATCATCTCTCCTTGGCCTGTTATATTGAAAATGTATGTGTTACAATTTGCAATATGATGTTATCAATTGTTAAATTATGGCTCATCATAGACTAGCTAACCACAAAGCTAGCTAATACCACTATCATCAGTGGAAGACCGCTAAGGTTAACATTAATGAGCTTGAAAACCACAATGAACTTTTTCTGCCTAAATAAAGTAATGATTACTGTATTTATAACTAGCATATCTTTAGTTACAGTCCCTACATTGTAAAATGTAAGTTATACTTGCGAGGAGTGAACTGAACATTTAGACATAGAGAAAAAGTATCAAACGTATCTTGTGCATAAAAGTTACTGTAGCTTTTCTTTTACACGTGTGTGAAATCCAACAACGCCAAGTGTGCGTTGCAGACTGTCGTTCTGTAATGGATTTAGATTAGAATCGTTAAATAGTAGGTTTTGAAATCAGGCAGCAACTGATGATTGAAAATGGTTTGATGTAGCTTGATGGAAAGAATTTAAAAAGTGCAGGTAAAGGGATAAGCAAGCTGACATTGTAATTATGGTAGCTTATAAGGCAATGTAGGGACTAATTGGTATTTTATTTATCAGAACTTTAATATATTTTGATGTTCTTCTATTCTGTTGTGACAATAATAGAAACAAGTTTCTTTTTAAAATCATTTATCATATTTTTTAGTTAACTCATAAATAACTACAAATAACTATGTTAGGGAAACCTGTTAATGTTTTGTTGCACGTTTCTGAAAAAAATAAATAAATAAAAAATATCGGCCGATATATCGGAATATCGGATTTTAAAACCCAAAAATATTTGTATCGGTATCGGCCTTCAAAATCCTTTATCGGTCGGGCTCTACTAATCAGTAAGTAATAGCACATTTAGGACTGAGATACTCCTTTATTAGGTATTCAATAATTGAGATTATGATTTTATTTTATTTTTCACAAAAAGCACCAAATAAAATCACTCAATTCACCTCTTTCGTGCAAACTGGTCGCACTGAAATTGTGCTGCGCTAAACGGGTCTATTGTGCCGCAGGACCTCCAGATGCTTGTCAACGTTTCTTTACATTGACTTAACATGGAAATGACTCGCTTCAGACGCTCAATTCGCTCAATTTCTTCGAGGGGAGGGTCTATAGACAAGTTATCGTCTTTTTCAGATCTTTCGATCTACTGGATGAAATAAGCTTGTGCAATGAACACGACCGGAGACAAAGGATAAATCGAATAAATTATTGATTCAAAAGTGATGTGCAAGTTTACTGCCACAATGGACCGTTGAACTTCACATACTTTTGAAAATTCAGCATTTAGTTGATCCAGCAACGAATTGATCCAGAAAAGCGATCATTGTCACACGTCGGCAAGAAATTAGACGAATATTAGAAAATGAACTGGCTCTTCCAAGCTTTATAATGGCAGTGAATGTTTTAAAGTCCTTAAAGTGCATCTGTCCACGATAAAAGTGCTCCCCACGACGGGTTACTAAAGGCCTTCTGAAGTGAAGCAATGCGTTCGTGTTAGAAAAATACCCATATTTAAACCTTTAGCAACTAAAAAAAACTAGCTTACAACGGACGGCTTTACGCATTGATTTACGACGAAAGACTGACCCTTGACCTTGTTGCATGATGCAATGACGTGCGGAAGCATAGTGGTAAGAGCAAAACAAAACACCAATCATGAGTTAGAAGTCTAAAACAAGAATTTTAAATCGAAATGTCGGAGAAGCTTGAGTTTGTTGCCCAGCCCTGTTTGTTTGAACCGAGAGAGGCGTCAAAACTTACGCTACTCCTACATCATACGTCATACATGGTCAAGAGTTATTCTTTTGTTAGTTGTAAGACGCAAGTCGACTTGCGTTCTGCCAGAAGCTAGTTATTTTAGTTGGTAACGTTTTAAAAATGGATATTTTTCTTACACAAACGCATCGCTTCACTTCATAAGGCTTTTTATTAACCCGCTATAACCGTGTGTAACACATATGATAGATGGATGGATGTACTTTGGACTTCAAAACAGAAACAGCCATTCACTGCCATTATAGATTTTGGGTAAACTATCTCTTTAACTGCTGTGAATCAGGAGTCTCAAGAGAAGCCAGGTTTACCTGCTATATTTTTCTCTTGATATGAAAATTCGGCATTAAGCATTATAGCAACTGAATTATGTGTATGATGTATATTACAATGTTATGATTAACTAATATGTCTTTCTCCACTGATATTATTAGCAACACATTATTAGTTGTTTGATAACATAGTCGAGCAAAAGACTAATAATATTAATTTCCGTTATGATTCCAACTTTGTAGAGAGCGATACATTAAATGCATTACCATTCTGATACATTGGCTTGCAGATGAATCTGTGTAATTTACTCTTCCACTTCAAACGAAATACAGCCATCTGAGCTGGTTTGAGTGAGTGGAGGCAGGGATAATTTGCATATTCATATATCCCAGTATACTAAATGAGGCAAGGGTGTAGAGTTACATTCAAACTATTTTAAGGCATGAATAGAATTTTTTCACTGGAAATTTTTTTTTACATATGACATTTTGGTGATCAAAGATGAGTTTTAAGGGATTAAATTATTGTCTACAGAGGCCTTTAAATCCTGTCTCTCTAGTGCGCTTTACATAATGTTACTCATTAGGTCAGTAGGGGTAGAGCAGGCATAAAGTAATTCTTTATAGTTCGTCATGGTTAGTTGATAGTTATTATTGATGATAATCTCATTCAGTAATTATTGAATACCTAATAAAGAAGTATCTTACTCCTAAATATGCTTTTATTTACTGATAAATTAAGCGTGTTTCCATATTAGTTCAAAATAGTATCTGAAGTGTTCAAGTTCACTAGTTATAGATGAATCTCTTGCCTTTATCACATTGAGGTATGTTTTTCATCTCTGTTGTTTGTTTGTTGTTGTTGCAGTGTCAACAGCAGGAAACGAAAGTAAATCCACTGAAAAAGGAAGCCCAGAAGATGAAACTGGATCAGTCAGTGTGGAGACATCATCCAGCTGGTTATTCTTTCTGTTAATTGTACCAATAATTATACTGGCTATAATAGGCTATTTAATTTTTCTTTGCTATAGAAAAAAAAAGCAAGCTCTCTCATTCTCTTTTGTCTGTACTGAAGACAAAACACAGTGACTCAAATTACATTTCAGGCCTAAAAGTTTCAATTTTATTTTATTTTTTTACAGCTGTCATTGGGTCTTTCTGGTGCTTGCGACTTTGTTTTGAGCTGTTATATTATTGCCTTATACACTGTTGTTGCTGAATGAGATCTTCAAACATCGAAACAGTAGCTATTTTCTTAAGGTAAAGGACCAATAAGTCTTTCAATGTTACTGCCTTAAATCTGAACAAGTGTACTTCATGTTGTATCTATCTATTTACTTTTTTAAAAATCTTTCACAAAAAAAAATTAAGAGTTTAATAGAAGAAATTATGACAGTTGTACCCTCCGCTGAGGGAGCCTGTCATTTTTAGGTATTGTTAAAACGGGCTGAGATTTGGCCGGCCGATATTAGGATTTTTCCAAAATATCGGTATCGGCAGTTATAATGGCCGATAAATGAATATTTAAAAAACAGAAATGGATGAAACACGCTTCAATCATCTCTCCTTGGCCTGTTATATTGAAAATGTATGTGTTACAATTTGCAATATGATGTTATCAATTGTTAAATTATGGCTCATCATAGACTAGCTAACCACAAAGCTAGCTAATACCACTATCATCAGTGGAAGACCGCTAAGGTTAACATTAATGAGCTTGAAAACCACAATGAACTTTTTCTGCCTAAATAAAGTAATGATTACTGTATTTATAACTAGCATATCTTTAGTTACAGTCCCTACATTGTAAAATGTAAGTTATACTTGCGAGGAGTGAACTGAACATTTAGACATAGAGAAAAAGTATCAAACGTATCTTGTGCATAAAAGTTACTGTAGCTTTTCTTTTACACGTGTGTGAAATCCAACGACGCCAAGTGTGCGTTGCAGACTGTCGTTCTGTAATGGATTTAGATTAGAATCGTTAAATAGTAGGTTTTGAAATCAGGCAGCAACTGATGATTGAAAATGGTTTGATGTAACTTGATGGAAAGAATTTAAAAAGTGCAGGTAAAGGGATAAGCAAGCTGACATTGTAATTATGGTAGCTTATAAGGCAATGTAGGGACTAATTGGTATTTTATTTATCAGAACTTTAATATAGTTCTATAAGATACAATTTTATTTTATTTTTTTACAGCTGTCATTGGGTCTTTCTGGTGCTTGCGACTTTGTTTTGAGCTGTTATATTATTGCCTTATACACTGTTGTTGCTGAATGAGATCTTCAAACATCGAAACAGTAGCTATTTTCTTAAGGTAAAGGACCAATAAGTCTTTCAATGTTACTGCCTTAAATCTGAACAAGTGTACTTCATGTTGTATCTATCTATTTACTTTTTTAAAAATCTTTCACAAAAAAAAATTAAGAGTTTAATAGAAGAAATTATGACAGTTGTACCCTCCGCTGAGGGAGCCTGTCATTTTTAGGTATTGTTAAAACGGGCTGAGATTTGCATCTCACGCAACGCCCTGTGCAGCGTGGGTATAAATACGGAAGTAGATGCACGCGGAGCCGATCTGTGTTGATGTCTCTGAAAAGTGTTGCTGTTTTCAACAAGAGAGTGTCCGTGTTCTTCTGGAAGACTCTTCCAGTGCTGGTGGTTCTACAGCACGAGTGCAGCAGTGATCGTGAGCTTCTAAGTTCTCAACTGCTGTTTTAATAGCATCATTTCTGTGTGTTTGTTGACGGTTGCTTAGAAGGCAAATAAGTGAGTGCTTCACTGTTACAGGCTACACCATCTCCTTTCTGGTGAAGGGTGAATTTTGATCTTTTTTTAGATGTCACAATAGTTGCATCACGTGTTTGGGCTTACAGCACACTGAAGATGCTTTTGTGGAGTCATGTTGCCAGCCCACCGCCCCAATGTCTTTCTTCCATGAAGTGCATGAGGAGTTTAGTAGGGCATGGACGCCAACTTTCTCTGCCAGAAACCGCCTAAGAAGTTCCTCCCCCCTCACTACCCTGGAGGGTGAAGTGGTGAAGGGTTATGAGGCTAACCCTCCAGTGGAGCGATGCAACTGTGTCCGACCGCCTGCCACCGCAGTAGCCTCCACCTAGGCCTCAGAATGGAGCCAGCCGCAGACACCCTCCCAGCCGACTTCAGGTGCTGCAAAGCGTGGCAACCACCAGCATAAGCGTAACTGAAGACGGGCCACCCAGGGATGGAGGAAGGTGCTCTTCGGGAGATGGTCTCCGAACCATTCCTTCCCCCAGATGAGGGTTGGAGAATCTTTGATTTGTTTGTGTTCCAATGCTGGCTCTCCGGAGTTCCAGCGGTATCCACATTTTTAAAGGAAGAGAAAATTCCTCTGTTCTTTGGTCCCAAGAGGCCCAGATTGGCGGTGTGCGACCCTGTAATGTATCCTTCCCCAAGATTGGTTTGCAGCGTTCGACCTGAAGGACCCGCACTTTCATGTCTCCATTCTCTGGCGTTGCCTGTGTTTTGCGTTCCGGAGTCGTGCGTATCTGTACAGTGTCCTACTCTTCGGGCTGGCCCTGCCACCCTGCGTCTTTACGAAGCTTGCGGAAGCATCCACTGCTCCCATGAGAGAGAGCGTGGTGTTCGTGTCCTCAACTATCTCGACTGGCTGATACTAGCACAGTCTCAAGAGCAGTTTTGGCAAACACAGGGACTTATTGCTCCACAGTCAGTTGGGTCTTCAGATCAGCTGGGAAAAGAGCAAACTTGTCCTCGTGTAGAGGGTCTCTTTTCTTGGTATGGAGCTGGACTTGGTCCAACAGTTGATAACACCTCACAGAGGAACGTGTATGGTCAGTGCTGAACTGCTTAAGGAACTGCTTAAATACTTGCAAGAGCAGAACTGTGGTCCACTGAGACTTTTTCAGAGACTCCTGGGGCATATGGCAGCCGCAGTTACGCTGCTCAGCTTGCTCCATATGAGACCGCTTCAGCACTGGCTTCACGGCCCAGTCCTAAGGTGGCTGTGGAAGAGCGGCACGTTTCGTGTGACAATCACCCCGACCTGCTGCCAAGCCCTCAGCCCATGATCAGACCTTTGTTTCTCTGTGCCAGAGTGACTCTAGAACAAATGTCCATTAACACGGCTGGGGGGTCACGTATAATGATGCAGTAACCGGGATCTGAATGGGCCCCCAACTGCATTGGCACATCGACTGTCTCGAATTGCTAGCTGTACACCTTGCTTTGAGACGCTTCAAAATGCCGCTGCTCGGCAAGCATGTCCTGGTCCGTGTGGACCGTTGTGCTTTGCTTCCCTAGCATGTCGCAACTCGCACCCACCTCCTCCTATGGAGTCTGAAGCTTCTGGGGTCACTTCATGCCACTCATTCCCGGCCTGCTCAATTGTGCTGCCAACGAGCCCTCATGACAGCTTTTGGCCCAGGGAAAGTGGAGACATCATCCCTAGGCGGTCCAACTGGTCTGGAACCACTTCGGGGCTGCACAGATAACTCTGTTTGCCTTTCCAGACTTGTCCAATTGCCTCTTATTTTTTTCCCTAATCAAGGAGACCCTCGACATAGAGGCACTGGCACACAGCTGGCCCTGGGTCCTCCGCAAGTATGCACTTCCCCCAGTGAGCCTTCTTGCACAGACAATGGGAAAGCGTGTGTGGCGAGCAGGACGAGGTTGAAGGACGTGAGAAAACAGCATGAGGCGCAACCGGCCTCGTGCTGTTCTCTCACGTCCCTCAACCTTGTCCTGCTCGCCACACACGCTTTCCCAGTGTTTTCCAGGTCTGACTGAGTGGGTCTTGCGGAACAGCAGGGACTTCCCTGGCCTAAGCCCTGTCCCATCTCCGCCTCTAATGCTGTGGGATCAGGAGGCTTTTGTCTAGGCACTGGAAGGTGGCAGCGCTAGTGGCGGTTCAATGAGGATCTCAATTAGTCAGTACGTTGATTGTGACCGAACTGAAAGGGAAAGTCTCGGTTATTTACATAACCCTTGTTCCCTGAAGGAGGGAATGGAGAAAGAGTCCTGTCGCCTCTTTTGCTGGTCCACCAGGTCAACAATGCTCGAAGATGACAAGCTCCCTAAGTGTTATTTTAATCAGTCGCTACGTCAACTACATCTTTGTTCCCTCCCTCAGGGAACAAGGGTTACATACATAACCGAGACATTTTTAGTTTCTTGTGAGAATGCACAAGATGCTGTAAGAGGTCACTTTATAATATGAAAATAATGTTGGATGTTTTTGATTTCAGATGAGAGCTTTACTTTATTTTTTAGTAATATTTTTTTCACTGACACTTTGCAGTTTTATTTATTTTATTTTTTTACTACTTGTCTTAAGTCTGACCCATAAATTATCCCAGTGAAGAATAAAGTAACTTTTCAGATAATGCTAATTAAACTAAATATTTGGTTTTGTACAGTAGATCTTGTTTCTCAAGGGTAAAAGTTTGCTTTCTAAAGCTGATACTCCCTCCTGGCTTGTTCAGCTATTTCTATTTATGTTGGTGTAATTATGTTCTTTAAAGAATTGAAATAATATTGTTGGTAATATTATGTTTCTTTGTTGTTTTATTGTTTTTTTGCTACAGTTGAAATGAACTGCAATGAATAAATTAAATAAATAAATGTAATCAAACTTATTCCTTATTTCGCATTCCTGAACTTATTTCGCATTCCTGAGTGCCGGAGCAATGGGTGGCGGACAATATGCCAACCAGTTGAAGTGGGATGTCGAGGGTTTGTGGGCTATTCCCTTTGCAGGGCCTACAAAATGCTTGGCATCACAGGGGCGAGTCAGCGAAGGGCCATCAAGTTGGCCACGGACGCTGCAGAAGCAGCATCAAGGTGGCTGTGGATCAGGAGAGGAGAGGCATGGCGTGTAGGGCAGTAGCGCTACCTGGACATAAGCTGGGACTTGATCACCCCAGCTGGGTCGCCTAGGGGAGGAGGTCTGATTGTTGAAAGACCCGAAACCCCCCGTGATCCTAGGTTACATCACTGAAGATATGTCCAGGTGCACCAGACGGTGTATAAAAAAACCTAAATATATAACATATTATTTAAAAAATATATAAAATATTATATATATATTAGATATACATACACACACACAATTGATTTATTTAAGTGGTTTAGGGTTATGCATGTGTTTGTGTAATGTTTATAGGCATACATAATATATATATATATATATATATATATATATATATATATATGTGTGTGTGGGGGGGGGGGGGTGTAGGGTTAGTTATTATGTGTGATTGAAACATGTGTAGGCCAATACAGAGTACCTCGTATAAATGTATTTGTGTGTGTTTTCTGATGAATGGTTTAGTCTATGAATAGGGTAGGATGAAGGGCTACATTAGCCACTGAATTGAATCCCAACAGTTATGGATCATATTTAGGAACAAATATTTTACTCATTAACATCATCATCATCATATCTTTATTCAGGACATACATATTAAATGGTCCATAGCACTATACAAAATAAAGTACATTCAAAATAGAAAAGATACCCAATAGTTAAAATTTACCGAACATTACTATAAATATAGTCATTGCTACGTCATGGGAGCAGTCTATATCCCCTCCAAAATCATTTATTTGTACATGCACAGCGTAATTATTTATATTTTATGTTGGTTGTCGTGATTGTAATCCTGAACGGGCCACCGGTCCACGGGTCTTTGCGTGATCACGGTAGGCTAATGGCTGAATTGGAATTTATAAGCAAGATCACGGGAATCAATAACCTACATCCCAGTTGTGCAAAAATAAATATCATGAGACGTCCATCATCAGATGAATGACATGGAAAAGTTAAGTTAGAGCCGCTAAAGCCAGTGCAACTACCAATGCGACACAAGCTTTTCCCTCCAAAAATATAGCCTAAAAAACATCTAAGTTGTTACCCTGCCTCTCCAAATGCAACACTGACATTAAAAGCTTAAAAAGTACTTTGGTGTGCGTTTTATTTTATATTTACCGTTTAATAATGCAATCAGCCCGCGTCTGTTTTGGAACTATTGGGGCTTCCATGAACCACGTGACGCCTTTGCGGTGACATCAAAGCGTGTCGCAACTCTCTCAATGGCTCTGCTATAGGCTACAGATCTAATTTAGGGTTAAGAGCACACCATTTCATATTTAGTTGGAAATCTATTCTTTAACCAGAATTTTAGTTATACATGTTATTGCTGTTTTTTTTTATTATTATTATTACCTATTATTTATTTAAAAAGCGAACACTATAAAGCATCACAGTTTGCAGTTATTCTCTGCTGTCCTCAAGAGTTTGAAATTTTAAATGTTTTATTAGGTTTTACATTCGTTTACACTTACTGTAAGTTCAGCCGTTTTGTGATTCAAGTAAATAAAATAATACATGGATGAATATGACATCTGTTAACGGAGTAACTGAGCCTGGTTAACCATATCAAACGTTGATCCCTTGGTAGGAACTGTTATCTGTTTACTAGACACAACCAATTCAGTCATAATAACATTATTGTTTTAGTATGAATTGGCATGAACATAGGAATGCTCTGAGGAAATAAACTGGTTTTCTGTCTAATTATTGGGTGGGGAGTGGGGTATGGTGATTAGTATATTCAGGCTGGAATCCATATACATATGTACTGTATGTATGTATGGTCTAATAACATGAAAATCAGTGGTTATAAACACAAAAACTGAGCTTAACTACTTAATGGATTGATGATGTTGCTGGAGTATTAGGTGTTGAAAAAAGTCTGTATGTGGTCAGAGCAAATGTGACTGATTGATGTGGGAGAAGTGTTTTCCTGTCTGCTTCAGAGCTGCAGTATAAATTCTTTTTAAATGATGTGTGAGGGGGACAAGGTTTCATTAGATTCAACTGTTTTAATCACGCAGTAACATGAGGATCATTCAGCTCCAGCTCTGTGAGTTCATCACATATTTTGGATATGTTTTACATGTGCTTTATAATCAATGATTTTATGTGGCTAATCTTATTTATAATGGCTGTGTGTCTATTTTTTTTTTTTTATCTTATAGATGTGTTAATCTGTTGTCGAACTGCAGTCTCAGATCAACTCACTGACCTGGGATCAAATGTGACCATAAACTGTGATCTTGATGAAAATGAGGTTTATTGGATTTTGCTGAAAACACCAGATCCTCCAACAGTGATTCTACGGTCATTCCCAACACCAAGATCACCTTTTTACTTGAATAAAACATTCAGAATGAAATATTCCGTGATATTTAAACACCGTCTAGTTATTAATAATGTGACCGCTGATGAATTAGGAGTTTATTACTGTATGAACACAGACACTCCTCCAAAACTCAGCAACAGCACCAGACTGCACTTCACCGGTGAGTTCATTTGCATGTTCAGCAAACAAGGCTTATTGATGATCACTGCTTCAATTTGTCATTCACTACTTCATATTTTATTTAAATAAGAAAAAACTTAATTATATTCCCATTTATTATCAATATTTTCAGTTTTTTTATATTGTAGCCATTGTACTAACAGTAACAGTTTTTACAGTAACAGACTGTGAACACTTTCTTTACAGAATCAACTCCACTAAGTCACAATCATACAACGGTGAAGTGTATTGATCAGAATCAGAATCAAACACAATGGCAGATCATCATTATCATATCTGGACTAATGAACGGGCTTCTGCTCATTGTGCTGATCGGTAAGAGATTTTCAGCCATCTGTAATAATATTAATATAATGCTTTTTTTTCCAAATGAAGAAAATAATTGAAGAAATTATAATACAACCTTTTGTAAATATTAAATCTAAATTCATTGTTTCATATTTAGGACTGGTAAAGGTTTTTGTTATTGGAAACAGAAGGTCTGCAGAAGAATCACAACTCAACACTGATCTACAGCAGACACAAGTTACAGAAGAGCACGACTTACAGGTAAAAATGTGGCATCATCTTAACTAATTATTTTCTGTCTTAAATTAGCCTTCTTGCTGGCTTCCTTAACATTAATTTTAGTTCATTTTGGTTTAACTGTAACAGAATTTGTTAATACTGTTCTTTCAGTACGCCACAATGGATTTTTCCAAGATGCGTAGAAATATTCGGCACAGCCAAATCAACAGCACATATGCAGCTCTAAACCTGCCGAAGTCATGAACACACACGTATGACTGATCTTATACTTATTTTCTTCACTTGTTCTTAATGTTTATTCAACTTCTAACCACAAACTGTTTGGCACATTAACACACGACATTAACCAGCCAAAAGTTCTTACATTCTATAGATCAGGGGTTTTAAAACTGGTGTGTGTGGATCACAGAAAAATTATATATATTGATTCCATTTGATATTATTACACCAGTTATTTTAAGTTATTTTATTGAATTGACAGCAACATTTTGTTTTATTTATTTGATTTATACATCTAACAGCAGGTCGACAACCACATTCTGTGTCTCCTTAACAGAATGTAAATAATTTTCCCGACAATATTTTACTTTGCTTTTATTTTTAAATGCAGTATGGATGTTTGGAATGTTTTATAGATGAAATTATGGAAACTAAGGAATCGGAGGTTGTGGTATCAAAAAGATTTTAAAACTGAAAATGAAATTTAAAAACTTTATTCTATCTTTTGAACAATATTGGTTGAAACTTCTGTGAGCAATTGTTGACATAATATCTTCTTTGAAAATACTTTAGTCTTTAAACTGTCGTGACACAAAGGAGATAGCTTAGACTGAGATGTGCACATTTATATGAAATCTTATGATCTTTTTTAAATATGCTGTATACTGTAAATACATGTATAAATTAATTAATAAAATTAAATAACCACAGGTTGATAAAGTATGTTATTTTTATTTAACAAACTGAAGTTTTATTGCTTGCCAACATACTTGTCTCTAGCTAAGCACTTTTTGTTGTTGCCTCCTTTGTCTTGTTTAATGTGTCAATAGTCTGAAGTAAATTCTGAATGTTCTCCATTATTCATGACTCCTTTTAATAATTTACATTCTTAGACATACATTAAATTGACAGTAGTTTTAAAATATATAAATAGTGTATATCATGCAAACATCAATTTACTTCATTGAAAAATACACAAGTGATAATTCAATTTCAGAATCATAATGAAGATTCTCTATTGATAAATTAGATTATGACTGTGTTGTCAGATTCTTTTAAAATACATAATAAAACACACATTTTATATATACATTTTATATTTTATATACATTTTACTTATAGAGAGTGTGCGATGCATGCCAGGCCATATGTTGCATGCCAGGCCACACAGCACAATGCGGTTAAACTGAACTGAAGTGTTCGAGCAAAACCATAAACATGTTCCACTGTCTTGGGCACAGCCAATGATAAACAGGGTCTCTCACCTTTGTCTAGAGTGGGGTTTAACCTTAAACGAGTGCAGAGCTTTTTCAATACCTTTATACATTTAGGTTATCTCGGTTCTCACAGTTGTCTAAACCTCAAATGGAAACAGAGCTGCGCATTGCATTGCATTGCATTGTAGCATTGCCGAGAGTAAAGCATGTTAAGCACCTTCCGGGCCATTCCACCGAATGGGTGACATTTGCTTGTTGTAACTCTTCAAAAATAAACCTTATTTTTTGATCTTTTTCAACATTGAATCTAATACTACACATATTTAATTCAAAATTTGTATTGGTAATCTCAGGCAACTTTATTTATTTTTTACAAGGTTTAAGCAGAATATGGACGCATGTTTTCTCAATCCTGTTACCAAAAATCATGTGTCATTTAAAAAGTTTAGAAGCATGTCAATTAATTCCTTTGTTTTCCCCACAAGAAAGTGTTTATTTTAAAGAAACTTTTGGTTATATGTTCAAAAAATTGATATTTGTGAAATAAAATCACTATTAAAGCAAGGTGTATTTTGATATAAAAAAACACAAAGGCATTTTTTCATTTTAAAGACGACCGAAGCCTCAAGCTTATATATTTTTTTAGAATTAATTCATTAAATAATTGTATAAATTATGGGCCAAACAAAAAATGATAAAAATAGTGGTTTAATTTTATTTTTTTAGAAAAAGAAACAAATACAGGCCTGAAGGTAACAGGATTGAGTTTTTAAGCAAAAAGTTATCAAATATATGGCATATGGCCACATAGCATTGATGCTAATAGCGTGAGGACACTGAGCCATTTCTAGTGCCTTACCAAAAGTTAATATTTTTAAAATAAAACAATTAAATCTAAGAAAACGTTTAGGTAACAGGACTGTATGTTGAGATTGACCTTCTCATTCCTAGTTACAATTTCATCAAATATACAGAAATGAAAATGAGAGGAGTGACTTATAGTCACCCCATTGCCTTCAGAAGAGCATATGATGAAACTTACTGTTGAAAATGTGTCTTGTGGAATATTCAGACGGGGGATGTAATAGTGTAACAGGACTGAGTGAAAACCTGGGGACATGACTAAAATGTGTATTTTATCTAAAATATTAGATCAAATGTTTTTTTCTTTTTTCATTTTAAAGCAGTTTGGATATAAAGTCACACAACAATGCAAGAAAAATCTGATTTCTGAAGGATTTTAATCATAATATTTCATGGTAAAGTTTAGAGATAGAGAGTTGGGACATGCAGAAAATGCTATTTTTTTAGTGTTCTGTGTCGTTTTTGTTAATGTTTTTAATTATACGTTTTAAATTTGTAGTTAGCTAAATGTGCATGACATTTTGCTTAATAATAAAATGTATTTTAGAGATAATTTTCATGCAATTGTATACATATAAGGTCCTGGGGACAGAAATGTCACCCTTTCGGTGGAATGGCTCTATACATACAGGACTTTGTTGAATATTTTTAAATAATAAATAATAGTAAAGAGCTGAGACCTGAGCCTAATGCATGGTGAACAGAAATGTAATGTAAATATGAGGCTAAAAACAAAGAGAAGCGGAGTGAACAAACAAACATTGAAACAGTGCTTTTGAACTGTATCAGCGTTATTTAAATGATTTTGGAGACTAACAATTTAATATTTTTTTTTAAATATATCTATTTTTTAAAAAATATAATTCCGTTGAATTATATAACTTTTAATCTAACAATGGAACAAGAAGACCCATATTATTGTAAGTAGGCCTACAACATATTTTCCACACGTACGTGATCTTTATTGAGGGATGTGTTTGTATGTTTAAAAAATGGCACGTCTCATTAAAAATAGCGACCCCAAGTGTTTGCCACAGTTACTTGCACCTACCCATACTACAGTAACCTTATTGGTTTTGTAAAGCCACATAGCTTTGTTGCTACTATGCCAACTTCCTCGATTATTTATTTAAATTTATTAATTTATCTCACCTCACACCCATTACCTGATGTTTTAATCCATCTATTTTGTCCACTTGCGACCACTTCTGACTCGACTTTCATACAAATAATGCACATTTCATTCATAATATTCTAAATACAGCGATACAAGCCTATAGTTCCTGCATATTTGTTTTTCTAAAGTGTGTGAAATGGCTAATAAAAATAAGTAATATACAAACGATTATGTGGGTCACCTCACCAAGTTGAATTGGTTTAAGGTGTGTTCGACATCGCCTGCGGCTGGATGCAACCGATCGGCGAGAACAGCCGCGTGCAGGCGGGGAGGAGCTGCAAACGGAGACGTGAAGTCGGACAATTTCTGGTTCCCGTAGTGACGGCTCACGTGGTGTTTGCATGCTTATACCACAGCTAAAGTGAAATGCAACATTTGCCAAATAAACAGATATTTCAGACACATTTTCATTCAATACTTTACTGCTTCATACAGCATCTGTTTGAACTAGAATAAAGTTCAAAATAAGCCTATAATCAATGACGTGGAATCAACGTTTTTTAATCAGTTTTATTTTGATAAACATGACACAATATAACATCGCGACTACATGAAAAGACTGTTAACTGTTAAGGCTTGTTCGACTTCATGCAGCTCTGCTGCGCAGACCGATCGGCGGCTGACTTGAAACAGTGCATGCCGGTTAGAAATTTTGTCCGACTTGATGCAGCGTACCGCGAGAGCGATACGAGAGAAGCCGGAGGACTCAGCCAGCGCAGCTTCTCAAGAGCGGCTGCACGAGCTCTGATGATGTCACAGCTGTTCCATGATTCGCCGGATTCACCGCATGACAACGATCACATGCGTTTCGTGTTTATTCTCACACCTTTAGTTCCACTAAAGCTCACAAATCAGTATTTTATAACAGTAAACACTCTTTTCATGTAGTCGCAATGTTATCTCTAATGACATTGAAACAACGTTGATTTGCTCATCGAATTAACGTTGAACCAACGTCAGACGCGGCATTCTTCAAAGCTAAATGAAATCGAAAATTGGTTTGCTTTCATAACGTTGAAACAACGCGTTGATTTCAAGTTGATTTTCCGTTAGTTTTGAAAGAATGACGCATCTGACGTTGGTTCAACGTTAATTCGATGAGCAAAACAATGTCAGATCAACGTTGTTTCGATGTCATATTTCCACGTTGATTCAATGTCAGTTTGCTATCTGGGATATTGTGTCATGTTTATCATGTTTAACAAAATAAAACTGATTAAAAAACGTTGATTCCACGTCATTGATTATAGGCTTATTTTGAACTTTATTCTAGTTCAAACAGATGCTGTATGAAGCAGTAAAGTATTGAATGAAAATGTGTCTGAAATATCTGTTTATTTGGCAAATGTTGCACTTATTTCACTTCAGCAGTGGTATAACCAGACTGTAAAAAAAGATGGACGACGCCCCTTCGCTCTTTTCCATCAGAGAGAACTGTAGCCGCCAGTGTCTCGATATGACGCTGACATCTTGGGACCTGAGTCTGCGCACTTGCGTGTTTCGGGACCAGTCATGCGCAGTCGTGAGCAGGAAGTAAAGCCGCGAAATCAAGGCCGCGCCCTCCTTCGCGCTGAATCAAACGCAAGCACACGCCCGCACTTTCTCTGTCTGCTTTGTTCTTCTCCAATGATGTCTGCTGATTGCAGAACCTCGTTAAAATAAGGTAAATACAACTACTAACCACATAATCAACATTATGAAAAAAGTCCGCTGGTGCTTCAGTGACTACCTCGCACAGAGAACCTGTCAATCACAGCTGTCAATCATGATGTCAGAGCACCGTTTTTAACTAACTAAAAACAAACTTATTTTAAAAACGAACACTTGAAATTACATCAACGTGATAGAAACTACAGTAAATGACAGAAACTATCTTTGGAAAAAGGATATGTGAAGTGTAATTTAATTGTTTAGTTGGTCTCGCGTCCCATTGAATAAGGGGTTATGAGCTATACTGGGACCGGTCACAGGGGGGCGATCGAGACCTTTTGGCTTCACTTTTGAGGGCTTGTGCGGCACGCTTGGGTATAACCATGCAAACACCACGTGAGCGGTCACTACGGGAACCAGAAATTGTCCGACTTCACGTCTCCGTTTGCAGCTCCTCCTCGCCTGCACGCGGCTATATTCTCGCCGATCGGTTGCATCCAGCCTCAGGCGATGTCGAACACACCTATTAGTCTTGACTTCTGGCCGTTACTCGTGACGTGAGTGACAGTGTTGAGGGGCGGGGGATGGGAAATCTGTTGATTGTCGATGTCGAGTGCAAAAATAAACAGAGATGGGCGGGAAAAGGTCAAAGCCATCAGGTGCACAATTTAGGGAAAAAAAAGAAGAGGAGAAACGAGCAAAAACTAAAGGTAGGCAAATGTTCTCTCTGTGGTGACTGTCTCCATGTTGATGATGTTGTCAAATGAAGAAAGGCTAATGTTAATTGCGTGTAGCCTATCTTAAGTTTGTTAGCCTTTTTGCTATGATGTTTGTTAGGGTGGTCGTGGCTCCTTAAAAGGTCTTAAATAAAGTTTTCCTAATAAAAGGCCTTGAAAAGTATTAAAATGTCTTAAATTCAGATTTGATGGGTCTTAAATATTTCTGGTCACATTACCGCGGCGCTAATATATTTTTTCAGTGTAAGATTTAATTTGATCAGCCCTACGCTAATAATTGAATTTATTGATCAAATTTAGGAATTTAAAATGAAAAATAAAGCATACATTTATTAAGATTGGGGGAGAGGATGCAAGTTACTTTTGTCATGATTCAGACCTCTGTAGCTCTCTCTGATGCCCACCGGAGGGCACCCTCAACTGAGTATTGACTTTTCCGGACTCCATTTCCCATGCACCCCGTACAGACTAATCACCTGCACAGGTAAGGTTCATTACTCAACCCCCTCTTTTATTATTCATAAATTGTTTGGATAGTGGCAGTATGACACTGTGTTGAGTGCGGTGCTTGGAGGGAGTTTAATAAAGTAAACTGCAACAGAATAGTCTGGGGTGTGAAAAGTTAAGAATTGTTTCTGGTGTGTTTTGTTCAGTGAACTGCATTTGAGTGCATTGTTGTGCTTATGGGACTGGGGATATAGTGGAGCAAACACTGCAATTTGGGGTGGGAGAAGGAAGGATTTCAATAGATTTTTATTGAGAAACAAAAAAATGTTTCAAGTGTGTTGGGGTTTAGACGAATCCTCTTTTTGGACAAAACCTCTCCAGTCTTGGAAAATATCCTTTCACAAGCAACAGAGGATAGAGGAGAACATAAAAATGCCAGTGCCAGTTTGTATAAATATACTGATGCTTCTGTTGAGTCCAGACGGGGGAGGATTTCCTCTTTCTTGCTGGCTCCATTACCAGGAAAACAAGCCATACAAATCCAAAACAAATACTAGCAAACAAATCCAAAACAAAAAGCAGTCCAGTCCAGATCCAAAAATCCAAAGCAATCCAAATAATCTTATCTAATTATTATAACAAGACTAAAATATAGCTACTATAATTATAACATATGACACAATAACAACAATGCAAATTTCTTAGATTTCTCTAACTCTATAACTCTCTGACACTACTACACCTGCTTCTGCTACTCCTGCAACACCCAGAAGGTTGCGCAAGTTTCAAATCCCGTTTATCCAGAAGCGACACTCAGACTGAACCAATGACATTTTCAAACAAACCGAGGCCTCGTTTGTCGCTAATGCATTCCATTCATTTTATGTATTGGTAAGTTTCTTCAGGGCGTGAAGAAATATAGAGCTGAGTATCATCAGCATAACAGTGAAAACTAATACCATGCATAATGATATCTCCTTAGGGTAGCATGTACAGAGTGAACAGCAGCGGTCCTAGTTCTGAGCCTTGTGGTACACCATACTGAACTTTTGATTGATAAGACATCTTTCCATTTACTGCTATAAACTGATTACAGTCAGATAAGTTTCTTGAGTGGTGTAGTGTGGTCGGGTTGTGACACAGTGGTTGACAAAAGGAGAGTGGGTGGTTATATTCTCACATTAAAAGCTTTGTTGGTTATAGCACCTCACCCCCCGTCCTCCACAATTTAATCACTGTTAACACCTAGTTACATAAGTAGTTGTAATGTTTTCTTTGTCTATTTACTATGCTAATTTAAAAAAAAAAAACCTCTTGCCATCAATCCAAATGATGAAAATGTAGAATTTTAATAACAAAAACAAAAGCCTGTCAGGATAATGCACATCTCCAATCAGTCACTTTAAAAACACATTAAAAATAACTGGTTATCGACGCTGGCACGTCACGTCTCATTATTGACAGAGGTGAGTGCAGTCACATGCCAGATTGTGTCGACAATGACGTTTTTATCGTGTTTGTAATTCCAACCCGATCTCACAGCAATTCGTATCAATTTATGAGGTGGCTAATTCGTACTAAATCATACGACCTCACTCGTATGAATTTGTACGAATTTTGCTAAATTGTACATATTTTACAAGTTGCCCAATTTGTATGAATTCGTACGAATGACCTAACCCTGACCCCGCCCCTAAAGCCTACTCATCACGTGGGTTTAGACAAATCTTATGAATTCGTGTGAATTGATCGCGCGATAGCGTTGGTAATTATTTTCATCAGCAAAACAGCACAACATTGCGTCGTTTTCGAAGATATATAGAAACCGTGATCATTTAAAATAAAACGAACCATTTAATCAGCTTGGGTTAAGTTTAATGAATCCAATCGGTCAGAATAAAATGTTTTTTTTTTATTAATGTGAATTATAAAATGTCAATTATAAATCATGACTGAAGTAAGATAAGGCTAATGGTTTCTTTGGTCAACCAGAATCACAAGAAAGACCATAATGGTCAACCAGATCCAAAACCAAACAAAAAATGGAAATTCATGCTGATTTAGTCATTGATGTCTAAGGCAAGAAATTAATAATGATTATTAACTTACATATCGAAGCATCCTTTCGTAAACTCCTCTAGGAAACGTTGTGTTCTGGATCCTGATTCTCAAAAGAAACATTTCTCCAAATTATGTTCTGTGTGTGTATATTCCTGCCGTCTTTAAATCTTAATGCACTGTCTTTCATGTTATGACTTATCTCTGAAAGAGTGCTGGAAGAATTCAGGGCAGGAACGTTCCAGTGACACCCAATTTGCCTTTCAGATTGTGCTTGTTTATTAACAGCGTCAGCTGATACAGAAAAACAGCTCTTACGTCAACGCATCGTGAAAAGAAGAAATAAATCAAACGATTTTTTCTATTGTTTCTAGCACATTCTAGCTGTCATCCAGTCTTGACTTGAGTTTACTGTCACTAAAAGAGCATGATAAGAATGCAGAATTTCCAGTAACACCTTTATTTGTGTACAGAAACCAAAAGAGCAAGAACTTTAAATAAAAGGGCAAAACATGCAGCATGCATTTCCTTCTCATGTCTTTGCCTGTGTCCTTGGTTGCTTATTACTAAGTTGATCAGTCACTTGTTGGCTTGTTCATTATCACATATTTCCATTTGGTTACGTTCTGTTCTCTTCTGTAGCCTATTTGGTTTGGTTGGTCTGTGTTTGGTGGTGGTGGTGGGTTTGGTCTTCCTGCATTATTTCTTTTATTTCCGTGTTAAACCAAAATAGAGCAGAAGAGAAATGCAAAGTAGAGAAAGAAGAGGCAATTTTGCATAAGTGATACATTCAAACTAATTTTTTTGCCTACTTTCACTAAGAAGATGTCTTTTGTTCAAACCTTTACCTTCAGGTTCAACTTCAGACAACATGACTGCAGTCAGTATATTAACTAAGTACTGAAACACAACAGTAAGGCAAACATTCAGAAAGAGGCTGTAAATGTGACAATTCACTATTTTTCACGTCTGAATATAGAGTATTAAAATTTTGGGAGAAGTTCTGGACGCTGCTTACAAGATACGATTTGAGCAACATTTGCATGCTTGTCCCAATTTTTTCATAAAACCCGGAACAATCTTTGCATTTGAACATTGGGAATTTCCTGTGGGATTTTAGAATTTGTATTAACAATTTTTTAATACACTTTGGTGGTTAACATTACTTATTTCACTTTTTGTTCTACGTCATTAAATACGCAAGCACATGCTTGATGTGAATTTTCACATTGATGTGTTTTTAACATTAGTTACACTTTGTGTAAACTGCTGTAACGATTCGATAGTAACTTGTCTCAAAAAGCTTTTCAAATTTAATTAATAGGTAAAGGTGTATAAAAGTCTTAAAGTCTGTATATAGATATGTATTAAACAAAGTTAAATTGGTGTCAGAAAACATGTAAATGAACAATCTGCTGGAGTCGTGCACATGATGCAAATGTGTTAAAGGTTAAAGACAAAGACAGGATTGTGTTTAGTGTAGTTGTGTTCTTCTGATATTAGTCAGATCTCAACATATTTATGTTTTATCTTCTGTACACATAAAGAAAGAAAGACATTAAATGATATGATATCAGAGTTAATAGGGGGACTGCGAGCAGTTCTAATTTTGACATAAACATGAAAAATACATAAAGAATCCAAAATAAATGTAATATTGGCTAACACAACATGAATGAACTGAAAAACAAAATTCAAAAAGGAACATATTGACAGACATATTGTCCTTAAGTAAACAATGTTCCTGTTTCAGAAGTGTTAATAATATACTAATAGGATACATGTAGTTAAAAGCAAAAGTCATGACATCACCACAGTGCCTGGTTCTTTGCTTGATATATGTACAGCATAAAATTTACTCAAACAGGTGGCAAATTAAAAATCTCAAAAAATATCCTTCAATATAGCTCCTCTGCTGCCTTCTGGAGGTCATTCATGGTAGTTCAGAGTGGCATTTCACCATAATTTAATCAGTTCTGGAGGTTTTAGTTTAAGTCCCTATGAAATCAGAATCAGAACTGTTCCTATAACTGAATGTTTCAATGGTATTGCATTTGATTAAGCAGTAAGGAACTAGTATCAGTAGGCTTTAACTCTGTGCATTATATAAATGAGCATTAGAACATCAGCTCCCTTCACAGTGTCAAACATTTCAGTCCACAAAATCAACATTTCAGTCTTCAAAATCAATATTTCCCTTAAGTCCTCTTGTCCCCTCGCCACAGTTCATGGCTCAAACAATTAACAAAATAGCCACACCTTCACAGATTCAACCTTTCAACAGGTTTACTCAGTCTACCAGATCAGTTGCATCTCAGATTTGCATCCTGAAGTATTTCAGTAACAAAGGATGTGATGTGGTGTGAACGGCAGGTGTTCTTCAGGCTTTCTGATGGTCCAGCTTCACGAGGACAGGATCACCTGGCTTTAAAGAGGGCAAGGGCCTAGCTCCATGGCACTGATTACAGTAGAAAGCTTGTTTCCCCTTTTCCCATGCATCCTTATTCTTGACCATTTCCAGATCAGGGCTGAAGATTTGCCTCCAGTGTTGGAAGGGTTGTCTTTATCTTCCGGCCCACGAATAGCTCTGCCGGGCTCACGTCTTTGGTGGTGCAAGGCGTTGTCCGAAAGCACACACATGAAGATGAGCAGAGGGTCTTTCTGCTTCAAATTTCTTTTAGCGGTCTGAACCCCTCTCTCTGCATGTCCGTTCCCTTGAGGGTTGTGTGGACTTGAAGTGATGTGTATAAAGTCGAACTCACTCGCAAAGTCTTTACATTTCTTGCCAGAAGCCAAAAAATATTTTCAAGATTTGTTATCACAACATATTTTCTTTTGTCAAATCAACTTTATAATAATTTATTTAGTTGAGATAACTTATTATTTTGAGTTTCTGATGGTTAAATTAATCTACTTAATTGTATTAACTCACTTTTTCTAGTTTAATCAACTTAAAATATTAAGGCAACCCAGGATACT